AACTGCAGTCAGTAGCTTTTTCTCCAGGTGTTTCCCCTGTGAGAACACCTTTAATTGTGCACTACTACATCACTTCAGCAGGACATACTGTTTTCTACCTATTCACAGACACCTGTTGCCACAGAATCACAGATTACTCTGAGTTGGAAGGACCCACAAGGATTATTGAGTCCAACTCTTAAGTGAGCAGCTCACAAAGGGATTGAACACACAGCCTTGGCATCACAGCCACCATGCTCTGACCAACTGAGCTCATCTCAGGGTGTTGCTTCAGAAGGAGCCAGAGGAGAGACTCACTTTAACCCACCACAGGAATCCAAAATCAAAGTATCACATCCAAATCTCACAGGCTCCATCCACAGCCTCCTGTTAGGGACACACCAATAAGTCCTCAAAACCTCAACTCCTCCAAGGAGAAATGCTCTTAGCACCAGGAGTAATTGCTTTATTTTCATTCTCGTGTCTGAGAATCGGAAGGCACTAGGAAGGTTCTGTCTCCTTTTGTCTTCCAAAGAACATTTTGCACACCCATACCCCACCTTGTCCAGCCATACAGATGCCAAGCAGACTCTCCCCTGCAGTCCCAGTGCCCCTGATGTTGGCATGAGAGAGACAACTTCTGTTATTACTTCAGTAAAATATTTTGCAGAAAACAGAACCATCAGCAGAATCTACAAACAAGCACTGAGCAACTCAGCGTTTATCTGTCTACTCATCCATGTCAGTGCCTTGTGTCAGCATGAAACATTGGTCTTCACAGTTCACACTTGCCCTGCTGAACTACAGCATAATAAAATATTTATCTGCCTCCCTGAGAAGCTACATGATAGCCATCACTCATAAAGGTTTAAAACAACTGAGTGGCAGCCACTTGCCTATTATTAAACCTCAAAAACACATAATAAAGCTGCTTGATCAGCTCCTCTGCTACTGAGCTGTGCTCAAGTAAATGCCTCTGATTTTGAATTAAACCAAAATCTTGCAGGTTTAGTGCCAATTCATCTGACGAGCTAAGTGCACTGCACAACATCAGCTGTAGTTTGTCAGCCCTGCTCAAACAGATCTTTCCTGCTCCACAGATAAATGTCCTTTCAAGTTTCACCAGAGAAGCTACTGTACAAGGCTAAGACTTGTGTTCCTGGCTGCTTTCACAATGTGGAAATGCTGTGTAAGGCTATAAACATCATTTCCCCTGAGGTTTAACTTACAGTAAGATGGCAACTAGAGTCTCATTTTCAGAGTTCCACCTAAAAAAAAATTTGGAAAGTATTTTTCTTTTCCACTATTATTCATCAAGCCTGCGTAAGCCCTGTAAATAAAACATGATCACTCAATGCCACCCACAAAATGTCTGGCTTTGCAAATTCAGAGTAAAGGAAAAAATAGCTTAGGACTTCCCAGTCATCAGTCTGTGAAAAATGACTTAATCTGTTTCTGATATTCATATATGTGAGCACAGTCTGATTGGGAAAACATGGGCAATCAAAAATGTTTGGTTCCAATGCTTGCACCTGGATTCTCCTGTGATTTTAAACCACCAAAATACTCTGAAACCAGATGTACCAAGGAGCAATTCCAAAGAGACAAGAAATGGCATTAGAGCCACTTTACAGCACATCAACATATCTTGTTAAATCAGCAAATGCTGACTACAAATTTGCTCCTTTAGAGAAACTCACAAGGCATTGATGCTTGAACTGTTTATGTGGGAATACTGCTTCAGCCTAAAATACAAGGATCCTTGTGTATCTTTATGGTTTTATGGGAATTTCTTCATGGTCTTATCAGCTATACTTCCAAGGTGTTTGCCTGAGCATTCATTTGAATACTCTCACTGGATACACGTGCATGTCTTCACTCTTGGTCCTCTTTTGCATACTTCTCCGTGGGTATTTTTAAGTCAAAATAAGACAGGGGTGAATCATCTGGGGTTTTTTCAATACTTTATGCATCACTATCAATATTTCAAATACTCTTTGACTCACTCAGCAGAGATCCTATCATAAAATACGCTGAATTACTCATGAAATATAAACAGGTGAGACAACAACTTCCAAGTCAGTAGAAAACGTGGCCCCTGTAAGGAGTGACACCACTTGATGGGAATATCAGGCTGCTTACAGGCAGGGTTTATTGTACGTGCAGAGTCAGCTGGTTGGGAGGTGACGGCACCTTCACAGTTGCTGTCAAATGTGTTAACACCACAACAGCTGACAAATCCTGCTTCTTCCATCACAAGATTTTCTTTTATCTTTTTAAGCTTGCACAGTTTAAAAAAATCCAGTTCTCCCTGGAATCCTATCCCTCCCTCACTTCAATCCCCAATTTTTATGGGAAATTAGGCTGGAGCATTTGCTCTGCTGTGTGTGAGAGAGCAATGCCTGGATGAGATTTTAATTATAGGAATCAGCCGAAATGACACCCATGCTCCATGGTAAATGTATGGAATGCTGACACCTGCCGGCAAAAGGCTTCATGTCACTCCTGGACAGGAATCTGCCCTCATCTACATCCCAAAAATTGATTCCCATCTCACATGCACAACAGCCAGCCCAAGCAGGGACTGAGTTCAGCATGACAGCAAACATGAAGACCCAGAGCCATCCTTACACCATGAAACAGCAGATTGAGTCTCCAGCTCCTCGAAGCTCTCTAGCTCCAGATGCTCCAGCTCTGGGCCAGTCCAAGCAGTTTCCCACCATCCAGGGGAATACATGCGTGTTTTGAATCTCAGCAAAACCAGCAGGGATTAACTGTGCCAGAAAAACAAATCTTTTGTAGCTGGAAAAGTGCTGACCTGATTTAATAGCCCACTAAGCTGGCAGTACACCAATCCTAGAAAAAAGAAAGGGGGGAAAAAGTCACAAATTTCTGCCAGATTCATGAGCAGAATCTGCTCAGCATCAAGTATCAGAGATGCTACCTGGGATGAGGGGGTGAGGGGAGCACAGAGCTGGGCACAAGGAAAAGGCAGCAGGACTGTCTCCTCTGGCACCAGGCAGCTGCAAGGAGGGCTCAGCTTCTCACCAAACCACATCTTCCACCCACATGCCCCACACAGATGGGCAGCAGGGAAAAGCTTCCTCTCCTGTTCCCCAGAGTGTGTGCACAGAGATGAGCTTGGTGCTGGGTCTTCCCTTCCAAAACATGAAAATAAAGGGAAACAAAGATGTCTGTTTGGATAATTACTGCAGCCAGAGATATTGCACATTGGCATTTCCCCTGCATAAGTTGAACAGACTCCTGCCACACTCCAGAAATGAATTTCACCTCTTATCTACCTTTCAAAGACTCCTGTCTCTAGGAAACTGTATGAAAAAAAAAAAAAATGAGAAAGCTACTGTTCATACTCACCAGAGCAAAATTAGCCCTTTGAAACAAAACCCTTGAGAGTCACTTGCAGGGACTTCAAGGTCCCTGCCCATGCTGCTTTCACATCTCTTCAAACTTTAATTGATTACAGAAGAAATAATCTTTTCAGTTGTTTTGATGAGTTTTCTGCAAGAAGGCAAGTGTGGATGTGACACTTAAGATGATTACAAGGAAAAACAGTCTTTTAAAGCCTTAATGATCTTTATGGAAGCAGAAAGCTGTAGTGTTCCAGAGCTCTCAGCCTTTCAGGTTCACTGCAGGACACCCTGGCATGGGTGGCATTAAATTAAACCACATGGTGCTCGTGGTTTAGTTTGCACAAGGGAGATGCAGGACATAAGGACACCAAAGGGCATTACAAAGCAACACCATATAAACACATGAACTTTTGCATTTCAGAGCATTTTTTTAAAAACATGAAAAAAAGGTCTCTGTATTGTGTAATATCTGTTTCTGAGCAGAAGCACTGGGAGAAACTCAGGTGAAAGTGTCTGCCTTCACTTAGAAAATTAAGTGTTGATTATTGAGCTGTTTCAGAGAGTTCTGGAAGCTGGTGCAGACCTCAAGGGAAGGGCTGAGACCAGCTCCTGGGGAGAGTAACCCCAGAGCCATGATGGAGTCACACATCTTTCAGCTGAAGGGTGGGATGCAGAAAAACCCTGAAGAAAATTTGCTGTCACCTGAAATGTTTTCTTCCCAAGAAAGCATTTTCCTAGCTCTACCTGCTAAGGAACAAGCTAGATGGAATAATACAAAATTATTTTATAGATCTCTACTAGCAGAAGAGGGCCTTTTGTAATGATGTGTCATTGTGGAATACTGGTGTGAAAACCAGTAAGAGATCTGCCCAGTGAGCTGATCTGAAAAGCAGTGCTATAGTAGATACAGAAAGAATTAACATCTTCAGTGCCAGTACATGCATTTCACAGTATTTCTTTACCTGGGCATAAAATTTTCTCCCAGGCATCTTTTTTTCCAGAATAACATTAGAGAGATTGTAAATGCTGAAAGAGCAATGGCTGGAACTCCTACAGAAAAGCTTCACTACAAGAAAAATAAAACAGTCAAAGTTTGATAGAAAAGAATGCAATAGTATTCACAGTACAGGTGTAACTAAACAATGAATAATAAAAAGAATGTAACTCAAACATCCTTACTTAGTTCTCATCATAGAAAAATGAAGTATCCCTTGAACTGAAAGCAGCAAATTTAAAATTAATACAAGGAACATAATATTTCACACGTTGCAGGAGCATAATATAATATTAACATAATAAGGAACATAATATTTCACATTACAACTAACTAACCAGTACAACTCACAGCTGTCAGAAGGCAGCAGAGCCAAGGGCTTAATACAAATAAAATCAGATGCTTAGAGGAATGCTCCAAATGCCTGCTGGGAAGAGAAACCAGAACATGTTTGTAAGGTGATCATCTGGGGACTGCAGCTGCAAAGGAAGGAAGATCCTCCAGTTATTGCTACACAGCTCCAAGTTGTGAGATTTCCTGACTCTTGTAAAACATGTGATGCAGTATTGCATGTCCAGATCCTGAACTGTGATGGGAAGGATCCTCTCTCCCAGCAAGATTCATGACCAGAATGTTAATGCCTCATTTGCACTGGATTTTGTTCTTCTTTTGCATATCAAAAATACTAAGGATCATTGTCTCCAAACAGAAGTTCATTCCAAACTTTAAATCATTTCATTAAAAAATAAATTACATTAGCAGCTAAGCCACGATTTTCAATTTTGTATTGTGCCATGCTCTCAGGTTTTCTTTTTATGACCAGTGTAAAAAGATTTTAAATTATAATCTCTCCCTTGACATATTTTGTACTGCAAGTTTTAATCAAGTCTCCCAGAGGAAAAGAAAATCTAATAGTACCTTCAATCACTTTACAATCTTGTTTGGAGTATTTTTTTTGTTTTTTTTTTTTTCCTAAGCAGAAACATTTAACATCTCTGCTTTTCATGTACCCATATTTCATTATTCTTGATACATTCCTATCTGCATATAGCTCGTTTAAATATTCCCAGTTACCTCTGAGCATTGTTTACTACATATATTTTTTCAGAATGATTAGCATCATTTTGTATAGTCCCATTATGCCTCCATGGACAGCTGAAGTAGGATAATAGACCTTCCCTATGCTTCAAGCCACAGCATTTTCTACTCACAAGTGTTTTTTATTTCTAAACTCTAATGTGCCTCATCTTTCAAAATCCTCTCACTTCTGGTGCATGTTTTTTGGGGGGCTGGGGGAGGAGCCCATTATCCTTTTTTAAAATTGCATTTTATTTTGCAGCTCTAAGTCAAACCTATTCCTCTTAAGACTGTGCTGCCATCAATTCAGTCACACTTCTCAAGAACTGTGCTAAAATTTGGAATAACTAAGAGTACTGATGGCATCACAAGGCCATCAGTCCTGGCAGCAAATGCAGAATCTTTGAATGCATGAATAAATAGCAGGAATTTAAAGACAGGTAAAAAAATAGTTTCTTCAGACAAAAATGCTTCTGCAGGGCAAATCCCAATGGCAAAGTTTCAAATAGGCTTAATGGCCACTCAGGAATAATTTCAAACTACTTGAGGTTTGGAACTGTAGGTTAGAGGTAGCCAGCAGTTTCCTTGCAAGAGAATCATGTTCCCTGGCATAAACCCTTATAAACTAAATGCCACCACACAGGTAAGCTGTCCCTGTCTGCTTCTGCTACCAGCAGGTTGCTGTAATTTATGCTACAGCAAGTCTCACAGTGTTCTGGAAGTTAAAAGGGCAGAAAGATAAAACTACCTCAACCTTAAAAGCCAACATTCAAAAGGTTATACGAAAACAAAGCTGAAAAGAAGTTTCTGCTAGACATATGTTAGTACTTCCTTATTTTATTTCAAATTCAGATATTTTCTTTTTATTAATAATAAATTTTTACTGTCATTGGAAGAATTGATTATCTAGTTAATATTTCACTAATTATCTTGAAGTTACAACACAAATGCTATGATCAGTAGGCCACCAAATTTTTCAGTGCTGAAAATGCCAGAAGTCTCCAAATTAAATTATAAAATACAACTCAAGTTCTTAATACATTCATTTCTTAAAGCAAAAATTCATTATGCTGTAGTTGAGTAGTAGCAGAAAATTCAGCACTCCCCATTATATATAAGATGCTATATTGTTAAATGCTGACATTTTTCAGCTTGGGTATTTATGCCAAACTGAGATGGGGGCAAGGGGGTTATGTTTATTTTATTCCTGCAAAATGGTTCACTGGTTTCCAAGATCACAGCTAGTAAAAAAATAAATAAATAAATAAAGAGGAGAGAAGCTCTGTTGCTCTGTGCCTTGTAGCAAGAACTTGAAATCTTACTTGTAGCACCCTCACTGGTGATGATGTGGCTTTAGCACTGTTCAAACCCGTTTGAGCCAGGCTTATGCAATGCTGCAAATAATGTGAAAAGCTGCCATAGGCACAGGCTTAGGAGAGACGTGTCAGGGTGAGTTCTGTGGCTTTCTGAAGATGCCCCCCTCCCTGTATCACTACTGGAGTCACATCTGCATGGCTGGCCCCACGACTCTCTCTAAGAACCTGTGCCACAGGGGACATTCTCTCCATCCTGGCTCCTCATTGCCCCCTCCCCACACTCATGGCACTGATCTGGCCACAAGGTAAACTGGATAAACTCTTTGGGGTTCAAAAAATCCCAACAAAAACAGGAGAGGGGAAAGGAGGGAAATAATCTTCACGCAGAGCAGCAGGTTGATCCAGCTCACCAGAGAGAGGCAGGAACAGGCTGAAACCACAAGGAGGGAAAACTGCTTAAGCTGGTATTGGTGCACAGATAGAGCACATGGAGCTGCAGGCTCAGCTCCTCCTGCCAGATCCATCTCAGCTGTGAGGACTCCAAAGGACTTTCTTTTCGCTGACTGCTGCTATTCCTGCTGTCTGGGGCAAGACTGGGAACTGAAACATAGAAGGAAATGATGACTGAAGTTTCACTGAGACTGTTTCTGGCATGGCACCCATTTTCACAACCCCTCATCATCAGCTTCCTTCAATTACATCAGTCCAAACTTGTGTGGTGGTTCTGTCTGAGAAGAGACTTCTGCTGGTGCTGGGTTACTCCTAACCAAGACTGGTTTCCCAGTATAGGTCCCAGCGTGGCTGTGGGGCCATCTGTGCTGGCACAGGAGAGGATAGGTGAGGACCAAGAGGAGAAAGGGCAGTAGCTTATTTAATCAGGCACTGTCCAAAAGAAACAATCACAAAACTATATCTTTTGGACTATTTAGTGGGGAAAGTACTATAAAACAAGTTTTTCTAAGCCAAGGCAAAAGAGAAAGAAGCCAGCACAGTGGGGAAGGAAATGAGTAAAGTGGGATGGAGAATCTTGTATGTCTGGAAGCACACAAGTGAAAGAAGACAAAACACATGATCTCCTCCCTTCTGGCAGGGACAAGCTATTTATGCTGGCCCAGCAGTCCCTGAAATGACAGGCTGGGACTGAGAGCAGGAGGAAGTGAGAAAGGCCAGAGAAGGACACTTGAGGAGGGAGTTTCAGAGAAGCCAGGCAAAGAGCAGAAGGATGGAAAGTGACATTATAGTGGTAGAGAAATTAAAGCTTGAAAAAAAAGGTTTAGTTCAAGGCTGAGACAAATCTGGGAAATTATTGTTTTGGAGGGAAGAGAGAAGAAAACTTAATGTTGGAAAAACAAGCAAAAGATTCTGGATTCACTGGGGGCAGCTCCTCTGCACAATTCAGGCTGCAACAGAATCTTGAGCTTCTGCTGCTGCTTCTCCATCAGCAAATACCACTTAATATCTTTAAGTCACTGAATGCTGCAGTGATGAAGAGCCCATACAGAAATGCACATCTCCATCTCCATCCCAAGGTTTGAATAATGCACAGTAAAGAGGACTGCAGCTCTAACCTGGGCAGGGAGAAAACAAACCACCGAGCAGATACTCGTTAGAACAATCATCCACCGAGCAGATACTCGTTAGAACAATCATTAACAGCATGCAGGGTTCATCTTCTGCCTCTTTGAAAGAGCACAGACCATTTCTCCCGGGTACATCTGTGAGGGAATTCACACCTGAGGGACAGGGACCATGTAATAATGTACTGTGACACCAGGGCAGAATTGACAGAGATTAAGAGGCTGAATTAAGTCTGTACACATAATCCCATTTCTTTCATTTCTTAGAAAGTCACATCCCAGTCCATTAGAGTAAGCAAATTTAGAGCTATCATTTCTAATAACACTTCATTTGTTGGCCAAGAAAACTATTTAGGCCAAACCCCTTTCTCTCCACCATGCAGGTGAATGTTAAAAAGGCTGTTTATAATTTATTGCACATCTTCAGCTACCAGTCAGTAGTTAAGTTATGAACACTTAAGCATATTTGCTCAGGTCCAAGCCTTCCAGCTGAGATCCCTGGCCACATGCCTCCCTTCAAAGAAGCCTCCAAGAATTTTACCATATGGAAACACTCAACCTAGTCTTTTCTTCTTTTTCTTTTTTTTTTTCTTTTTTTTTTTTTTTTTTTTTTGTGTCCCAGTAAGAATGATCTCTTTTTCAGAGGAATAACTTAGCTTTTCCCTCATAGTTCTCAGAGTGGGTCTAGGTAATAATAAATAACATTACAAATGAGGAAACCCATGTCCAGCTCGGTGAATCACAACACCTCCCTAAACCACACTGAAAATGAAGCTGCTGGCAAAATGTTCTTTAAACTTCTGTAGGAGTACTGATAAAAAGCAAACACGGAGTACAGTTTTATCTGATTTACTCCTTCCAAAGCTGTGCAAGGTTTCTACACTTCTGTAAACAAATACTGCGTGGACTTTCATCAGCAGTATTACCTTGGGCAAAACCCAACATTTATACTGCTGAGGGGCAAGGATAAAAATGGGAATTGGTACGTGTTAGGAAAAGGTACCACTGGCTAGCCACAGAAGTTGTCTAAGTCTTTTCAATAGATACAGCTGGAAACGAACCAAGTCATGCACCTACACACACCCCTACTCCAAAATATCTGAACTACTTCCATCTTTGTTCTTTCTGTTATTGTGTCCATATAGCCTAACAAAAGCAAATTTTCACATGCCAATGTCACCCACACACGGTAGAGATGTCAGACTTTCTCATACCACAAAAGCAGCGACCTTTGTTTATGCCAACATGGTGTGATGTGAGTACTGCCAAGATGAAAGGTAAACCCTGGTCCAAGAGAAAAAAGGATCATCTCCAAAAGGAGGGCTTGTGTCTATTCAACACCGCCCATGAGTGCTACCAAAGACTGGGAAACTCTATGCAAAACTATACCTAGTCTTATATTTGAGCCATTCTTAACAGTAACTATGCCTGAAGTCTTAAGGACAGTGTGAATTTAAGCTTTTTGTCATGCAAAATGAATACACTCAAAAATGACATGGCTTATTTATGTACCTACAGGCTATTTCTTGGAAATTACATAGTAATTTATGCCAGCCATGGGAACATTACTAATGTAACACCATGTTATCTCCTTATAACAATGTAAATGCCTCAGATCACCAAAGTATTTGATAACATCTCTAAGATAAACGTGCCATACATGCATCATTCCAACAATGGAGGATGGATGCAGCAGCAAGGCAATTTGCATTCTTGCAAATGTACCAAAGTTCAAAAAATATAATAGATGACAAAAAATATAGCAAAAAAATATAAAGATATACTGAGATTAAGTGTGTGTTTCTGTGGGGACAAATTAGTAGTGTGCGTCTGATGCTGCAACAGTGGAAAAAACTAAACTAATTCTCTAATTTACAAGAACTGCTCTAGGATAAATGACCAACTCCCAGTCCAAATGGCATTATTCCAAAATTACTGTACAAACAGTACAAACAGACTAATATTGAGTTTCAGGCAGAACAAGTCTGACATGGACATACATCAGTTCTTACAGCTGGTCTCTTGGCACCTCTGTGTAGAGCACAGCAGCTCTTCTGGCATTGCTTTCTGCCCATAGCCTGCTGCAGAGAAGGAAGCAGCAGTTCCAGAACAAGCCAGGTTCCAAAGTGTGTTCCTGCCCACCCCATTTCACTGACTGGCACCCAGGTACATCTCCATGCACTCTGTACCTGGAAGTCCTTGCTCCCATCACACCTCAAATTTTGTGTTTACTCTGTGATGTCTACAACATAACTTCAGCAGCTCACCACTAGTACAAAAGCTTGTCCAGAGTGCCTGAACTAAGCTCAGTCAACAGAACTCTGGGTATTTTTTAGGTTACCTTCAAAAGTCCCTAAATCCCACCAATATACACAATTTTTTGACAAACATTAGAAAAACATCAAACAGTGCTAAATATTAAATGTAAAGAAGATGAGTGTATGAAGCAGTGAAATCCCTTGCTAGCTAAAATGCAGACACAGAAAGGATTCTGAATTAGGAAAGAGGTAATGACCAAAAATAAAAGAGAAGTAAACATGGTGCAGTGTTCTGGAAAAGTACATTGGCATCCCAAAGTAAATATAAGCCCAAGTTCAATCAGAGTCACAGAAATGCTATGTTCCTTTATCAAGAACTAAAAAGCTGGCAAGTGTGTGAGGTGTGGGAGCTGCCTGCATGGTGAATTTCAGCCTGGACAATATCTTCCCAGGCTGAGGTTTAAAGCATGAGTTCAATATGAGTTTTCCATTTATAAGATTAAACATTTCTGCAGATGTTTCAAGAAGACATTAAAGTGTTTACAAAAGGAATGTGAATAATGAACGCAAATACACAAAAAGCAAGCTTGTTTACAAGGAGGAGTTGGGGAATTTTAGGTTGAGAGAGGTTATTTGGGGATCAAAACATACACACACAAGTTTGATCTTAAGTAACTTGTACCTTCTCAACCCTATGAAGAATCCAGTGTCTGAGACAGCATTATAAGGTCAAAATAAAAATGTGAGAGAATTATGCTAGAAAAGACTGCAGGCCTAGAAATTCCTTTTATTTTCAGTCTAAGGTCTCAGTCCAGAGAGCTGTTCTACAAGGGCAGGCTCCCTATCAGCACTGTGATTCATCCATGCAACACAATTTGCAGGATCAAAGATTTCAGAAAATTCTCAGTCTATGGGCATCACCTGAGAAGCTCCCAACCTTTCAGGCAGTATAAACCACAGTTCTCAGGGTATTCTAAACCTGTGAATCCCTGTGACTTTCAGTGGCAGCTTAAACTACGCCCAGCAAGCCCCTCTTTGCTTTACAAGCTTCCACATGACGCTGGCTGAGACTGTGCTGAGGATGTTCATGGATCTGGCCAAGAAGATGATTTATGTGGAGGGCTGAGTTTTCTTTCAGCTGGATCAGTGCAGTTGTGTTCCTGCTCTGCTGGCATGTCATTGGGGTGCCACAGGGTAGAGAAAAACAGGCAAGAGAAAGGAGCATCTCTCTACAATGTAAAAAAACAAGGTGTGACATTTAATTTCATTCTTGTTATCAAAGTATTTCCTACCGGCCTCCAGGCTACTCCTGCTCAACAATCCCATGATGCAGCAAGAAAATACTCACCACCAGCAAGAGCTTCCTCTCTTGCAATGTCATCATCACTGGGCTGAAGAATATTCCAGGACGTCAAAGCAAGTGAAGAAATGTCTTCAGCAGATGATAACTTCAGCATGTCTATGTGATTGCTCTGAGGTTTGTAACGGGGGATGAAACACTCCTTGCCTTGCTTAAAAATGTCCTTAATGATTTCTTCTGTCTGGACTTCATCTGGCATACTCAGAAAGATTGCAATTCTTTTGGATTCTTGGTACTTGGGATGGTCAATCACCTACATGGGAAATTGACACAATTGGTTTATGAGAAGTTTTTGGAAAGATCAACTTACTTTCATTTAACACAAAACTGGAGCAAAATATTAGTTGAAAAGGGCAGAGGTACAAACTTTGATGGATCACAAACAGAATACACTGACTTTGTTGCCTACTCCAACATTTCTACCATCAGCAAAATCAAAATAGGCAAATTTTTGCATCTAGTGAACTAAACACTTCATCACAAGTTTGGGCCAGCAAAAAACAATTTTGCAGACAATCTTCCAGTCCCATAAAGATCTGAACCATACAGTGCAGACATCCTCAAATGCCCAACATCACTGCAGAAAGATACAGTAGGGCAGAACTAACAGCTTATGCAAGCCATGAGGGTTTAGCATTCCTTTTCTTCCATCCTTTTTACAGACTGCACCTCTCATCTGGGCCTGGCAGAACAGGAAGCGCCTCAATGATAATAACTCAAAGGAAAATCAGCACCAGAGCAGATGGCTGCAGAGCACAAAGTCTTCCAAGAACAGGCCCCTCTTTCTTTTCTTAACCTGAATGTCTTCCCTCCAGCAGGACGAGATATACGACTTCAAACATCACCTGCTTCTAACAGGTGATCTTATTACTGCACATTTTTCAAAGCTCGAAGGAAAGATGGCCTTGCCATTTTTTGCTTTTCATGAGACTCTGTGCTGGGCTTATAAAAGGCTGAATATAGGAGGGAAAATAAAAAATGCTTATATGGTGAAAAAGTGTTAGCAGACTCATACCTAACTTGTCTCTGCCCATTCTAGACTGAATTCCACATTAAAATTTGAAAGGAGGCTTTGAAAAGCTTGTCTTCTCATTCTCTAGCACCATATATATTTTGTCACTTACATCTGGACACAATAATATAAATGTGTCCCTACTCATTTAAATGTGGTTTACCCTTATTCTACACACTTGGACAAAATCTGTTTAAAATATCAGACAATTGAGAAACTCTCTACAGAACAGAGATCACCAGATGCCCTGCTCAGTACTTCTATAACTGCAGGGTAACTCACTCTTACGAGCTTTAGCCTTTGCCCTGGCCTTGTTTTGAGACACAAATGTCCACATCTGAGTCAAGATATGGTTCCCACTACATTTGCTATTTTCTTTCCATCACAGCAGTTAAAAACCCAGGTGTAATACTCAGAAGACAGATGTGATTTTGTAAGGGAAAAAAAAAGAAACACTCCAGACTAAGTGATGGTGTATGTGTTTCTTGGCCGCAGAAACATCTTAACAATTCCAAACCGTATTTTATTTCCTTTTCTATCTGCCTAACCCTACACATGGATTTTTCCACAGGATTAGGCTCTTAAAAGAACAAAATTTCCATGGTTGCTTTTGCTGCAAAAAGCAGGCTATTTAGTCCAACTGCAAACTCCAAAAAACAGCTGCAGCTCATGTTGAGGGCCTCCAGAGCCAAAACCTGTCATGGGTTTGGTGAAGAGAGAAACTGAGAAACTGAGACACTTTCAGAGATGGGCTGTGTGCTGCGGGCACCACAGAGGTCCCATCTGCTCTGATATATCCAGCAACACATTAATTAGGCTGTATAGGAACAAAAGTGAGGTTGACGATGTGAACCCACATGTGAGCAGGAAGACACAATTTCAGATGTTCTCAGAATTGTGTAGATGCTCAGTTTCTGAGAAAACTGAAAAAATTTCCACACTTAACAAATATTATCTGTCCTTTGTTCACCAGCTGATGGCAATTTTTTTCAGAATCAGAGCATGCAAATAGCATGACTTTAATAATGAACAAAGCATTAAAAAGAATAATCATCCAGGAGCTAATTAAATACTGGTGGTTAGGTCAGCCTGTAAAGCTATTTCATTTTGAATTTAAAGATTATTTTGAAATGAGATTTTTCCACTAAAAATATTACTCAGGTGTAATAAAACAACCTGCTCACTTTTATTAGCTACAAGCAGTGATGTACGTTACAAAGCTACATTTTTGGCCTTGTATAATTCCAAATATTTTCTCAGCCTGTTCCAAAATTTCTCCATGCCTGCTGTATCAGCCACCCCCCATGAGGAAGCCAACTCTAATTTCTGCCACTTGCACAGAGCCACTCAATCTCAAACAAGCTCAAGATTTTCAGTTTGTGTCAAATTAAGAAAATGGCAAGATAGTATCAATTTATGTCATATTTACTGATGCCTTCTTTTAAGCAAAACAAAGGCTGTATCTTTTAGAGAGCTCTCACTCGAAGAAATGAGTGCTGTGTTGCTGTGTTAATCAGCAGCAGTTAGACAAAGGCTGAGGGCTCCTAAAAATTCAGTACTACATGTGCTAGGTACTTAAAAATTGTTTGAGGACTCTGAATTTTTGAAGGGAATGTATGCCAGTATTTGCTGAAATTCAAGAGATTTAAGTCTAGGATGTTTGATTAATAAAATGCATTATCATGAAGAATAGTACACTGCATAGAGATATGTTTTTAAAAAGCATCCCCAAGAAAAAAAACGTTATGCAAATTCCAGTTAAAACTTCCTACAACTTAAAAGTTTCTGTGCTGCCACATCCCACTCATGAAGTGGCTACACATTAGTAGTAGATGAAGTCTATAAAATGATTTGAGAGCCTCTGGCAGGAGAATAACCATATAAATGTAGATCATCTAGAAGTACCCGCTGGTGCTGCAAAAAAAAATGAGGACTGTGCTCTATTACATGCAGTGACTGCAAAATAAAATTTTATTATGTTTATTAAAATGATAAAATACATCTATATAAAAACTGTGTAATCCAAACACAAACAGGACATTTCAAAAGTACATACCCATATCACTCTGTGCTAGGATACCAGTTAGGCAAACCCTGCTTGATACCTTTTAGAGTGTAAAAATTATATTAGAAATAAAATTGTGTGAAAGAAACAAAGAAACACCGCTGGAAGATACAGAAGGGAGATGACAGCACGTAAAACAAGAGGCCAAATCAGGCAGTGGCTGGGTTTTGTATATATGGCCAGAGCCAGGCTGGTGCGAAATGTCTGAGATAAACAGCAGCCACCACCCTCAAGGAGCCATGCTTGGGGCATGTGGCAGTCTGCACCCATTGTCCCCAAAATCCATGAGTGAAGTGTGACCACCCTTGGGAGAAGTGTGACCACCCATGGGAGAAGAGTGAACACCCATGGGAGAAGTGTGACCACCAACAGGAGAAGTGCCTCCAGTACCTCAGGGGTGAAGGGTGACCACCATGCCACTCTAGGGCTGATGTGTGCCCACCGCTGCAGGCTGCAGTGTCCCCAGCACCCGGGGCTGTGTGTGACACCTCTGCAGGCTGCAGTGTCCCCAGCACCCAGGGCTGTGTGTGTGACACCGCTGCAGTGTCCCCAGCACCCGCTTTAGCCGGTGCCACCCGCAGCTCCTGTCACCCTGGCTCCACCGGCCCCGCTCCCCGGCGCTGCCGAGGAAGGGCCGAGGGCAGGGGAGGGCTGCGAGGCGGAGCTCCCCCCGCTCGGCGGAGCTCACCCCCGCTCGGCGGAAGGGCCCCTGAGTCACGGTTTCGATCACCGGCGGGGCCTGGAAAGTCCCGGCCGTGCTTCCCGGCGAGCCGGGCCCCGGCCGTGCCCGGCTGTCCGCACCCACCTTGCGCCCGAGCAGGCGGGACTGGCGCTGCTTCTCGGCCGCGCCGAGCGCCCGCAGGCGCTGCCGCAGCTCCGCCCGCAGCTGCCGCTTGGCCGCCCTCAGCGCCGCCGCCATCGCGCCGCCGTCCCCGGCGCGCTCCATGCGCGAGTGCGCCGGGCGGGCCGCGGCGGGGCCGGGCAGGGCCGCGGGGGCGGCCCGGGACCGCCCGCCCGCGCTGCGACCCGGCTGGCAGCGGCCCCGCCGTGCTGCAGGGCCCCTGCCAGCGCCAGCGTGCTGAGGAGTGTGGGGTTTTTGGTTTGTTTTTTTTTTTCCCCTGGCGCAGATCGCAGAGAATTTCCCCTTTAATTTTTCTGCAGGAAGGGAAAGTACATTTCGGCGGGATGCTGCAGCCCCGTCTGCCAGGCAGTTTCATGTTGCTGTGGCACCTGGCGGGGGCCGTGCGCTCCCGGGGATGCTGTGAAGGATGGGCCCGTGCCCGGGGCTCAGGGGGTCACCGCTGTCCGGCCCGGGAGCTGTGTCCGGGGCTCAGGGGATGTGCCCGGGGCTCAGGGGGTCACTGCTGTCCGACCCAGGAGCTGTGCCCGGGGCTCAGGGGGTCACCGCTGTCCGGCCCGGGAGCTGTGCCCGGGGTTAAGGCGGTCACCGCTGTCCGGCCCAGGAGCTGTGCCCACAGGGGAGATGCGCCGGCCGCGTCCCAAGGGAGGTCTCTGGCTCCAGCACACCCTGAACTGCCCGGGTAGGCAGTCACCGTCCCTGGAAGCCTTCAAGAAATGACTGGATGTGGCACTTAGTGCCATGGTACAGTTGACGTGGTGGTGACCAGTCAAAGGTCGGACTCGATGATGCCAGAGATTTTGTCCAGTCTAACTGATTTTGTGATTTTAAGCATAGAAAAAGACATTTCTATAGGAAAACAGCTGTTTTCATAAATCTGTGTGGCTTTTGATGACCTCTCAGTTTAGCTGCTGTGTGCATGGATGAAGTCATCAGCTGTCCCACTGTGCAGCTCTTTGACCTCACCTTTTGCTCCAGAAGCAGCACGTTGTTCTCCCCTGACAGATCCAAGGATCCCTTAAACAGCGGTGCCCCAGGACCTGGCACTACTCGGTGTCATGGATGGATAACTTCATGACAGTTACATGGACACTATGATATAAAACTTAGCCTTGCTGTTTTCAGGTGTTTTACTGTGCTTAGAATTGGGGTGGTACATCTCATCACTGCTTTTCTTGCTCTGCACTGAAAAAAGGAGGTTTTGTCCCAGTGAAGTTAACCTGGAACCCACTGGATTGTTAATGATCCATCCAGACTTCTTCTGTTTAAACCCTGCCCTTACCATGAAGAGAAGTTCTAAAATTATTGTATCACCTACATTTTGAAAAGACACAGTTATCCTTTGTATGTAACTAAAAAATTGTTCTTCTGAGTATAAAATAGGTTACTAGATCAGTGTAAAAGGAAGTGGATGTAGTATTAATAGATTGGTGTTAGCCACTATAGTGTGGGGCTTGCAGTAGTGCTCAAAACGGAACTGAGTAAGAATGACTTTTCTTACCATGAAGACTTAGACTACTAATAAAGACATAGGTCATAGCATGTTTTAAAATGTCATTTCTGACAGGTGCTGCCATACGTGTTCTGGAGGTGGGCATTTTCTTTTAGCTGCCCCTTGCCCTTTGAATGCTGCCATCTTTTCTTCAACAGCAACAAAGTTCTGCCTGCTGCAAATTCTGCCTGTATATTAAATAATATTTCTTGTTTTCTCTGGGGAGGGAGAGGGAGAAATATATTCTCTAACAAACATTAACATCTGTTTGTGTTGTATGGTTAAACCCACCAAGTTAGACCGTGGAATCACAGAACAATCCAGGCTGGAAGGGACATTGAAAGATTATGTGGTCCAACCTTTCCTGGAAAAGGGAGCCTAGATGAAATTATCTAGTGCCCTGTTCAGTTGTATCCTGAAAATTGCCAGGGAGGGGGAACTCTACCACATCCCTGCACAGGTTGTTCCAGTAAACAGTTGTTCTTACTGCAAACTTACATCTTATGTGGAGATGAAGCGGGATTTTTTAGAGGATCTGTCTCAGGGAACAGTGGTGTTGTGTGCCACAGGCAGCTGCTGGCTCAGTTTGGTTCACCTCCCAACACGTTTAAAAAAAAAAAGAAGGGTGTTTAGACCCAGCCTTAGTTCCCTAGTGGAAAATCACTACAGCTGAAGAAAACCCTTCTACAATGAATTCTTGAACAACTACTGTTTAGCCTTGGAAAGCAAATGGAATTTGAGTAAAAACATGAATTGCCCAAGACTGTAAAAGCCTGGAAGCTCTATGAATTTACTGAGTTTTATGGTGTATTCCAAAACACTAATTGCTGTCATCAGAGCCGATCCAGTTCATTTATTTTGCCACAAGATATCTGTTTCTTATGCAAGCTACCAGATGGCACCTAAAAAGTACTACAGAAAATGAAAGTCTTGACATCCATGGACCTCAGGTCAAATCCATAAACTACTTTGATTTTCCAGCAGCATTTTGATAACTCTTTTAAAATTATCTTACTTAGACAGATCTTTTCCCATGCTCCAATTTTTGTGGAAAAAAATGAGATCAATCTTAAGGCTTTAAAATACATATTTTAATGTATTTTCTCAAAATATTAGTGTATTTACACAAATTTCTCATTTACAAATATTTTTACTTGCCTATTTTAAAACATTTAGTTTTAAAAACATTCAGCCAGATGACTACATCCATACAAATATGAAAGAACATTCATTGTAGATGAGAGCTATTAAAAATTACAGCACAAAAACACATACCATTGCTATAACAGTAAGTGAGTGCACATTTTTAAGTTGCTAGCTTCCACAAACAGTTCTTCTCATAGAAATTGCTTAGTCTGTGTCAGTAACTTCAACCCACTTCTATATTGGAGTTCCCATTTCTTTTTTCTTCACAAAAATCCCCCCCTTTTTCTCATACAGAGGTTGCAATAAAATGCATTACAGTAGTATTTCATTTACAAAACAAATGACATAAAAACTTGTTTCTTAACCCATTGGATTGTATTTCACTAAAACAATGTCCTTTCATGGAGGTGCAAGAGAGATTCCAAGAGCTGTCTGGGTGTGGAAAATTACCTCAAAGCAATCCTGACTGCAAAGATAGACTTGAGTTGCTGCATGATGTTGTGCAGATTCCCCTTTGGAAGGATCTCATCTTCAGATTTGGTAATTAGGATAGCGTGTTAAATATTGTATTTAGCCAAAATAAATACAAATAAATTAAAAACAAATTATGGAAGGAAATTATACTTTGGTGATATTGCTTGGAGGAAGGCTGAGAAGTGAGGTTTGTGGCAATATCTAGATTTCACATGAATCCTTTTACTTCAGTAGTACTCTCTGAACAAGGACACAAGAGCTATGAACAGGGCTGTAATTTTGGAGAAGGACAGTAGTGATCTTCTTTCAAACTTAGTTAGGAAGCCATTTTCCTGTGGAAAAGAGCACACACAGTTAGGGACAGCTTAAAAACAACATGTAGGGAAACCACACCACTCTCAGAGTCAGATTACCAGTGCTGCAGCACTGTACAGTGAGGGACAGCTTTTCAGAGCTCTACCCCCAAAAGATGAATAGCTCTTTAAAAATACTAGCTTAAAATAGCTGCACCTTGCTGAATGTTTGTTTTATCTTCCAGTCAAGGCTGTGCCCTCCCTGTGTGAATAGAAAACAAACATGAACTCTATCATCTAAGTCCACATCTTCCAGGAAGGTACAAGTACTATGTTTCTGATGTAGTAATACACCCAGAAATATCTTCCTTTAAGCTTCCTTATTCTACTATGATGAGCCACCTCTTATGACAGAATGTTGCCAGGAGTTGATACTTCTCTGAAATAAAATTGACTCTATTTGAAAGAGATGGAAAGATAAGCCTTTATAATAAATCCAATGCAAGGGGCCAAGAGTTACTATCACCTTTTTTTTTGCTGCTACAGAGAGAGAAGGATAAAAAAAGCAGAAAGGGAAAAAAAGATAAGAAAAGGAAAAGCAAGACACTAGAAAATAAATCGGGGGCAGGGGTAAAAGTAGTAGGAAATATGCGAGAAGTGGGATGAGAGGGGATGGAAAGAGAAAGTAACATTTACAAATAAGTAAAGGAAAAAGGTACCAAGGAAATAACTGACACTGGAATCTGATTCTCAAATTCCCCCAACTGGAAAAAAAATAGAAGTGTGATGAAAGTTTGCAGAGCCAAAGGATATTTCCTTTCACTGGCAGAATGGGAATTTCAGCAGCTTGGCTAAACAGTCCACTTAGTAACAAGTATTTTTCTCAGCATTGACCATTCATAGATGAAAGTTCTAGGATTATCTCAGTCCAAACAGAAAAGATTTAATGTCAGTTGTACTTACCAGTACATTTGTTGTAACTAAAACTGATTTGGGGGATTAAATAACGGCTTTGTTGAAATCAACAGCAATAGTGCTGACTTCATTTGTGAGGATCACACCTGTGTATTCTTTCCCTACCTTGAACTTAAGTATTTTTGGACCAACTTTTCTATGAAAGCAAAATTGCTGCACTGACCTTAGAATGCCACTTAATTTTAGATTTAATAATGTAAATTTCAGGGTGTCTGTGGTTTAACCTGCTTTGAGTGGGAGGCTGGACCAAATGATTTTCTAAGGTCATTCTCAACCTGAATTATGGTATGATCCTGTCAATTCAAAATTGGCAAGTGCCTTTCAAAAGTAAAGTTGTCTTTTATCACTGTTCTGTTTAAAGCAGAAGCAAAGCTCTTACTGTCTCAATGAGACATTCCAGACACCAAATAATAAACCACCAAATGAAACCCTGAATAAAATGGTTTTGACAGTGTTTATAGCAATAATTAATGAAATCTCCTAATGTAGACTTTGGTGGAAAATTAGAACTCACCCAGCCACCATTCGCATCAATCCATTCAGCTTTGTTGTTTATGATGTACTCCGTGATGAAATAAGAAATCTGCTCCTTCTCCTCTGCAGTCAGCTGAACCCCATGCTCTTGAAGCTTCTTGGTGAGAAGACCTCCAAATGTAAAGATGGTCATGATTCGTCCCCAGTTAGTATTTCCATCAGCAAACTTTTCATCCATGACTCCATTGAAAATTCTCTTGGCAGCCGCTACAGAGGTGATGTCAATCCTGTCCAGGAGCGGCCTGACAGCCTCCTCCGTTTGGTCTTGCAGAGAGGATGCCATGGTTCTCAGGACATGAGCAACCCGGGTCTGGGCTGGTCCGAGGTGTGATTCCTGGAGCACATACTGCAGATAATCCTGGGCTAAGTAATAAACGTAATAGAACTCAGCAGTTTCCATTCAATACAGAATGCAGAGAGCAGTTCACTGCTCGCAGTCAGGGTCGGCAGTGAGCAGCCACAGGGCACGCATGCGGTTTTGTTTCGTCGGTTTTGATGGAATCTTTCTGGTTTTACCACAGAATTTCCTGTAAAAGGTAGTGACTTAATGGTATGCATTGGGGAATATGTCACAGAGGAAATGAAAGAAAGATTGTCTCCTTTTATGTCTTGAGTGACTTATTTCTCCAAATGGTGTGATTCCACTACTGAAATCGACCAGATTTTACCACATTCTTTAGCAGCGTAACTTGGCATTTTCTAGGGACTTTTGCTACATACCACTAGCAAAGGTTTGGCATTTGGCTTGCAAAATTCCAAGAATGGTGTATCATAGCAAAGGTTAGGCATTTGGCTTGAAAAACAAGAAGTGCATGCTGCTGGAGATGCAGATGCCCAGCACCCCCAGTCCAATCTCCTCGCTGCCAGCGTTAAGGCTGCAATCTGTATTACAGGTTTATTGGTTACTTCTGGTCACAAGTTTGTGAAGAAACTGGTAGACATTCCCAATAGGATGGAAAAATCGATAAATTTTCTTCACCACTCAGGGAGTTTTACAGAAGTGCAAAAAGTGGGAGCACAACAGTGGTACAATGATGGATGGACAAAGGGGAAAGTCAGCTTTATAGCATTATGCCTGTTCCAGACTTTCCCACACTCTCTCTGAGTGATCCTCAAGGTCCTTCTTTGAAGATCTGAATGAGAAGCTTCAAAGATTTCTTTCCCCCATGGAGAGCTCTGCTGTAAAAGATGTTATAAGTATGAAAGACAATGCTAATGCAGGCAGCATGTCAGAACATGGGATGGAAAATATGGGGCCAGTGATGTGTGATACCACCTGAATCTTTTAGAACAGGTAAAAAAAAAATATCATGATACCTACAACTGCTCTTAGATTCAAATTTTATGTCAAGCTGTTATTTTTGGGAGAAGAGGCAGGGTATCTATCCAGATCTTTACAAACTTCTTCTCCTGCGGCAATCTGATCTTGCTAAAGGGCCAGGACATGTCCATAGAGAACTTCACCCCATTGCAAAGGCTTCAAAGAGCAGCAAGCAGTTTGATGTCTGGAGATCCCTCTCTTTCTCCTTCTTTCTTTATCCCTCTACTTCTTACCCACCTTTCTTTCACTGCTCTTCCTTCTTTGAAAGCAACAGGCACTTGCAGCACCAACACACCAAGAGCTTTTCTTTGTCCCAGGAGTGGCTGTGAGCCTGTTTCCAGTCCTGGCACTCTCTGATGCTCAGATTTATGGAGGAGGAGCAGAGCTGCAGTCTCAGATGTCAGAATAGCACTGGCACCTAATTGCACTGGGGAAAGCCTGTCTGGATTGTGAAACAGCTCTGGTGTCACACACTGCTAACCCTAGCCAGCCCCACAAAATGTGTGTGCTGCTGCTCTGACATCACAGTTTTTGCAGAAACCCATTGACTAGATGAGGGTAGTTTCCACTTCCTGCTCAGGTTATTTCTGTACGTGGTGAGTCTGGCTGCGCCTGACACAGTCATCTTCCATCATAGCAGGGCTCGAAACCTCGAACTGGAGCCAGCACAGCACAGCATCCAGCACTTCAGGACTATTTCCCTCACTTTCTCTTGGAAGCAAAGAGAGAGGGGGCTTGCTGTTGTGTTCACCTTTGGGAGAGAAGGTGTTTCAGAGAGAGTGCAAGCTGGAAAACTCCAGTGTTAGATGTTACCCCCAGGGAAGGATGTGATGCCACAACTGGGAACGAGCTGGCTGTGGGAAGCTGGATCACCCCTCTTTCATACCCTCATGTTCTCACCAAAGCTCATTTTGAAAGTTCAGAGGTGTTTCCTATCCAGTACCTGCAGCTGTTGCTTTGGCAGAGCTGTCAGGCTGACTTTGCCTTTGTTATGCTCAGTGATTTGAGCAAAATGCTATCATTTTATGAGGAATGCAAAAGAGGGGGGGCGGGGGAAGGAAAAAAAATATAAAAGGGGATGTACCAGTCCCTTTCCAACTGGACAGGAATTTTTGGTGCAGAGGAAAGTCGTTGCTCACCCAGCCAGCTCCCCTCCTGTCAGATGCTTGCTGTAAACAGTGCTGAGAGAGGTACTAGAGCAGACATCACAAGAATCCTTTTCCAATACAGCATAGTCTGTGAAATTATAGATCACTCCTGAATTTCTTAGTAATTGATTAATGAAAAGACTTTGGTATTCTCTGAGAATATAATAATTGAATATGAGAACAGTGAACAATACCTAAGGAGACCAGTTTTGTTTTCTTCATCATTGACAGTAGCAGAGCACAAGCAGATGCAGCTGTTTCTTCATTAGTGGTGTGTTTAGGATTCTGAGGAGAGTGATGAAATAAGATTATGAATATGTCACCATTATTGAAAGAAATCAATGTAATACTTTGGCAATTTCAGTGCAAATGCTGCTACTTACTCTTGATTTCTTAAAGGGCTCTGAGGTGAAGCTGAGCTCAGCTCCCAGAATGGAGTGGCAGCTCTGAGCAGAGATCTCTAACGGCCAGCTGTGACACTGGTGACCAGAGCTCAGGATGGAGCTGTTGAAAATGCCCCAGGTCTCTCTCCTTCAAAGTTTTCAATAGTGTGCAGTTCAGGGTTCCAAGTGTTGGATGTTCAGTAGCAGTGACAGTTTATGTATGTACACACACAAGTTGATAATGGTCAACTCTGAACACTCTAAGAAATCAGCTTTGTGATCTCTTGCATCATGCCACTCTAATGCTTTGATTCTCATTTTCTATGTTAGGCAGTGTCTTGCTTGCTTCAAGCAGACTTTATTCTCATTTTGTAGTTGTAAATTAATACCTCTGAATTAATGAAACTCTACTTTGTTTCCTACATGCTCTGTCTCCCCAGTGCTGCATAGACTGCAGTCTCATACACTGCACTGCTTCTTCCTTGTTTTCCTCTTTGCTGGATATACTTTTAAGTGTTAATTGTTAATAAAAGGCTTGAAACAGAAACTGGCTTGACAGGGAAGCTCAAATGCAACTACTTGGCAATTAGAAGGGGCTTCAGATACTTTGATTTAAATCTGCGTCCTGTGGATTTGAATCCACTTCCTACTCTAACCTGAAAAGGCTTAGTTTTCCAGAACAGATGGGGACTGAGTTGACAGATCCTCATAAAACTGCCTTGTGAGAGACGATGTTATCTCATCACATTTGAGACAAAACCAAGCCAAAGAACAAAAGCTTTGCTGAGCTATCCATGCTGCATTTGCCTTGCCAGAGTTCCAGGTGATTGTGGGAGCTGTGATTTTTTTTTGTTTGTTTTGTTTTTTTGTTTTTTGTCTGGAAGAACAGAAAACAACTGAAGTTTTTTTTTTTGTTTGTTTGTTTGTTTTTTTCCCCTCTTTTTCTTCTCTTTTTGAGATCTGCACCGTGGTGATTTTTTTTTTTAAATTTTTTTTTTTTTTGGGGGGGTGGTGGGTGGGTGGGTGGTATAGGATTTCATTGCGATAGAAACGCTGGGTTGACCTGCAGCTTTGCAGCTGTCCTGCACAGCGCTGGTGCCGTACCTGGGCGGGTTCGGTGCCTTTATTTGCAGCTGTGCTGCGCTGGGGCCGCTTGCCCAGTGGAGTGCTGACATCTAGTCGCAGCCGGCCGCGCTGCAGCCCGGGGGAGCCGCATCCCTGATTTGGGGCTCTCTCCGCAGCAAACACCTGAAGGTTGACCTAATTCCAGCCTTGTAGAGCCTGAGGGGTGCCTACTGGAAAAGTGGAGGGACACTGTTTACAGGGGCACAGATAACACAACAAAGGGGAATGGCTTCACATGGAAGGAGGATGGGTGTAGATTAGATGTTAGGTAAAAAATGTTTACTGTGACAGTGGTGAGGCACTGGAACAAGTTGTCCAGAGAACTTGTGGCTGCTCCATCTCTGGAAGTGTTCAAGGCCAGGTTAAATGGGGCTCTGTGCAGCCTGGTCTAGTAGAAGGTTCTCTTGCCAACATCAGGGGCTTGGTGGTCTTTAAGGTTCTTTCCAACCCAGACCATTCAGATTCTCTGGTTCTATGAATTCTGCCAGCCAGGAAGCACAAAAGTCTTCTGTCCAAAGTCTGGAAAGGTCATCTCCATTAATTTTGGGAGCAGTTAACTTTAAAACATTTAAGACCATCTCCTAATGTTTCTAGAATAAAGACAAAATATCAGGATCCTGAATCTCAAATTCTGTGGCAACTGAAAGACAGACTTTGACCCAGCATTGCATTCTGTGTGTCAGATATGCACTGAGAGCGAGCTCCAGAAAGGATGGGAGGATGCAGCTGGTTTTGCATCCTCTTGGGCCAGCTGGGGCATTCGGAGCTAACTGGAAAGCCAAAGTGGTCCCCAGCACAAACTAAAGCAAGTAACTACTCCAGCTCACCAGAGGGCTGCGGTGCCATCTAGAATGACTGAGGGCTCCACAATTTGGCATAAGCTCTCTCCTGCTCCCAAAATACCACACAGGAAAGGCTGAGGGGATGGATCAAGTGGAGGTGTACCATGGTTCTCCATTGCTCAGACATGAGAAGGTGGTCATTCAACTCCCCTTGTGACTCCTCTGTAGCATTCCAGGGACCCAAGGTATGAATGGCCACCTTTGGCTGTGTTACTCAGGATTCAGCTGCTGCCTCATCACTTCCCCTGGTAACTCATCTCAAGTCAGAGGCTGTTTTCTTCTGAATCCCTGACTCTGTCATCACCATAAGTCAAGGAGCAGCCAAACATACTTCTCCACTGTGCATGTGTCATGTGTCATCATGTGCATGTGTGCAGACGCATGCTCTACATTCTCCTAAGCCTTTCTAAATGTTTATCTTGGATTAGGAGAATTTGAACACATAAGTCATCATTGTCAGCAGTGAGCCACAGAAATGTAAAGGTCCCTAAGCTTCCCAGACAATGGAGTGTGAACAAGTCTTGGTAGAAGCTTAGTAAGTTCTTGCAGATGCCAGCAGAAACACTGGAGTCACCTTCATGGCTGAAAATACCTGCTCCCAGAAAGGGAAAAAATGAAAATCTGCTTTTGAGTATTCATGAAACAAGAAGTCAAGAGCTCATGCCTCAAAATGATAACCAAAATTTTGCATGTCCCTGGTACCCACAAGTCAAGAGTGTCAAAAGTCAGGGGTGGTCTGGAGTGTTGGTTCATTCTCCTGGGGCAGATTAACATGTGCACAGTCATTTATGAGTGATCAGCAGCTTTAGTTCAGATCTGTGTTTTTCAGCAACATAATGCTGCCAGGAGAGACTGGCATTCAACACCTAAACCTATTTTAGACACTAGTGATACTCAAAATGTGGTGAGACAGCATTTCAGTCTCATATCTGAGCCTTGCTTAGCATACAGAATCCCACTTGATGACAACTCCAAAATATGAAGATTTAGGTAGAGTTTCCACTGAGCATGGATGAGATATAGGTGCCCAGGTCGTTCAGGTGTCTTTGGAAAAAAAAACAAAAAAACCAAAAAAAAACCCCAAAAAACGGCTATTCATTAAAGCTATTAATAGTTTAAAGATAGGCATGCTTTTAAATTCTTTGCTGTTTGATTTTCCAAAAGAAGCTTATGTATCTTGTGTTTTTAAAATAAATCACTTTAAAATTCAAGCTCACTTTACCAATTACAAGTTACCTGGGTGCCTTGGAGCTTTGCAGTCCTCTACATCAGCTCTCCCAGGAGTGTGCTTGCCTCTGTGCTTCTCCATCTTTTAAATCAATCCTGCATCTGCTCCTGCACTTCTCCATTATTTAAATCAAGGCTGCATCTTCTTATGGCACTACTGGTAACCTTTGCCTTGGGTCAGGTGTTTGTGATGCACAGACTAAATATCTTTCCTTTAGAAGAGAATGTATTCTGTTAATAAATCATTTTATCCCCTGTTTTTCCATATCCCCTCTGTTGATGATCCTATAAAAGAGGGCTGCAGGAACACTGGTATTTCTACTATAAATTCCTCTTCATGGAGGTCCATAACTCATCTTTAGTTTGTTTTACATGCAGGATTCTGGTCTGGGAGCACTTTTGTTTTTATTCCCCTTTCAAATTGTTTTGAAATATTTAAAGTTATAAAATAGACAAAAATTCAAATGTACAGTGTATAGCTATCTTCCTCATTTATAAGCAATCCAGATTTCTGGATGGAAATTATGATTAGGAAATGAATGTGTAATGGGATTTCAGTAATTTTCATATATTCACAATAAATATTGATATTAAAACATGTTTCTGAACCCAATTCAGTAATTGTACTACAGTTTTATTACCTTTTCAAATGTGTATGTGCATGAAAATGTCGTGGTGCTGGTGCCTACTGCTTGCAGCCTCCTTTTT